TTATTTTCCCATAATTTTATTGTCTCATATCCTTTTTTAAAACAGAAAGAAAGCACTAAACACTACAGCCAACTTTGATTCTTTTTTCTGGTTTTGTTTTTTCCTGTGCTAGAGATCAAATCCAGGGGCTCATGCATACTGCACCCCAAAATTTTGCTACACCAAAAATTTGTCACCAAAAAATTGCTACATCACAAAGGTTACTTTAGAAATAGAATTTTTCTGAAGATCACTAGCCACTAAGGACATATATAATTATTTATGTTCTGTAATCTCATCTAACTAGGAATGGGTTATGTAGTCTTGTGATTTAAAGTGAAGACAATTTAATAATGAAAAGTGCTCGTTTTGTTCTTAGATGCTATGTTTCCTTCAAGTTAACATTGGGTTTCTTTTTTTAGCTTTTCCATAGTATTATGGCAGTGTTGAGAGCATCATTTATAATTGCTGCTTATCTGTGATCTACTTTGAAGACAGATGACCTTCGATTGGTGGGAGGAAACAGGCCTGAATAAGTGACCACAGTAGTGGCTTTCAGGAAAGCCAGAAGATAGCACTGAGATACTAAAAGATTAGAAAAGGATAGTAGAATACAAAACGGAAGAGAGGTTTGTTGTGTAGTTGTGTCATTCTGCACCTAGTATGCAGGCTTCCTTTTTTTCCAGGTAGGCGTAGGTCTCCTCTTGCTTTTCTGTACTAGATTATTTTAATATTATTGATTAATGGGTACCTCTTAAGTTCATTTTTTTCTTTATCTTACCCTAATTGGAACAAGTCAGGGCAGGGATGGAGGTTGCTGAAGAATTTTCTTTCTTTCGTTTGTTCTTTTTTTCTTTCATTCTTTTTTTAAAATTTCTTTCTTGGGTAGCGCAGTGGTCCTTACCAGCTACTTAATTCTACTCTCTGCCCTTAAGTTCCTGTCCTTCAATTTGTATTACAAGTTAGTTCTGGGAAATTTTAGTTAGTTTTTTGTAGGGACAAATCTTATGTTAATTATATGAAAAAGATTTTTGGACTTATGTGTAAACATAAGAAGTATATAATTAGTCATTAGGCCTTTATTTGTATAGTCATAAACCAAATAATGTTATAAACGGACTTGTTTCTTCCATATTAGTTTTCACTAATTGTTTATCAATAAAATTATGGGAAAAAATCCATTACCATTTCTCATGGTAATCACAAGGATATAAAAGACTTATGAAAAAGTGATAGGTCAAATATGGCACAAAAATGTATAACTTGTAAATGTTAGGCCTTATTGTCCTTTCTACTTAGAACTTTATCTTTAAACTTAGTCTTGTACCATAGAGTTAGCCTTAGGCTCTAGCACAGTAGTCAGTGTACACAGTTACAGGGTTTCTGCTGAGGTAGTGCCTCCTGGACTTTTCTCACTCTTGGCTTTTACATTGACATGTTTAGATATTTTAGTTTATCCCATTACTAACCAATGTTTATTCTCAAAATTAGTTATAGCTTACCACATAGCCATAAAATGTGGGATTTGGAGTCAGAAAGAATGTTTGAGTCCCTTTTCCTTGCTTTGTTATCTAGAATGAACTACCTTGTTTTTAAAAGCCTGATACTGTTTTTCTTTAGACTGTTCATCTATATTAGAGGATAAATAAGAAAGCACTTTGTAACATCATGAAAGTGTTTGTTGTTGGTTTCATCTGCCTGGATACTAGAATACCTGACTATCAGAGTACTCTTTCTTTTCTTTTCCTTTTTAATTTTTTAAAACAAGATCTCACTGTGTCATCCATGCTGGTCTTGAACTCAGCTGACCTCTAACTCACAGCAGTCCTCCTGTCTCAGCCTCTCATGTGCTGGGCCATGGCACATTCTTAAGAGTCAGAGCCAGGCCTGGTGTAATCCCAGCATTTGGGAAATTAAGACAGGAGAATTACTGTGAGTTTGCAACTAGCATGGGCTACATAGTGAGCTTAAAACCAGCCTGAAGTATATAGTGAGACCCTGTCTCTAAATACAAAAATATTAAAACAGATTTGGGTGCTTGTTTGGTGCTATTTTTATAACATTACTAATAAATATACTTTAACATTTATAAGCCCTTATATATGCAGTAAGTATTAATTCGATGAATCTACCATATAAATTCTTTTATTCTTTCTTTGCCTTTCTGAATTTCCCATTGAGGTAACTCAAAACAAGCGCACCAGTAGAAATGAATTAGGCTCAATCATGTGCCTGAAGATTTACAATTAGAAATAAGTTAGCAGGAACCCTGATCTGCATGTTGTCTTGCTACTTACTACTTGCTGTGCTTGGGTAGCCAATGCACGGAACAAGAAGATGATGGGTTTTCTCTCTTGCTGTTTCTCTGCTTAGGGAAAGCCTGACAATCTTAGTAACCATCTCTTACGCTTCAAGGGGCATCCATGTGCCAAATTCTTCCTGTTCTGCCATGTATCTGATGCTGGCATATGCCAATAGAAAGCCTGCTCTGCCTCTTACACCTGGGATAGTGCCCAACTACACAGCAACCCTCACTGCTCTGCAGGCTGCCTTATAGAATCCTCTCTCCATGTAGCCAGAGAATTTTCTCTGCTTAACACATAGGCCATTTGCCATAATTATAGGCTTCTTAAAAAGTGGATTATGCTTTGATTTCATATCAGCAATAAAACTGAGCAGAAAATAATAGTATGTTCCACATCTCTGAATTTGAATTTGTTTTAAAAGATGAACTGTTTGAGAACATTTAATTAATAGTTGTATCAATGGTTTAACATTTTGAACTGGAAAATATTTATTGTTATTCAAAATCTTTCTCTAACAGCAAGAGGCCCACAAGGTTCAATCAAATGATGGAAAAGAATTGGATGTGAATGATCATGAATTACCTAAAAACATTCCAAAAGTAGATGAGAATGCTGCAGATAAGAATGAAGAACCCTCAAGCAATCATATTCCACATGGGAAAGGTATTCTTTTATTATGTGTTAATACGTTGTTGACTTTTTCATCCCATTTCAAAGTGGACATTTTTTAATCATAAAATTGTTGATTTTAATTCAGATGTATATATGATTAGGTGTCTGTATTGTTTAAAATTTGGATCCTTGCTAGGTGTGCTAGTCTACACCTACAATCCCAGCACTCAGGAGGCTAAGACAGTAGGATCATTGCAAGTTTGAGACCAGCCTGGGCTACAAAGTGAGCTCAAGGCCAACCTGAGACATAGTGAGACCAGGTCTCAAAAAGACAAAAAAGAATAATAATAAAATTTGGGTCCTTTGATAGAAAAAAGTAAAGATGTTCAGTCAGTACAGGCTATTGTTCTAGAAACTGTTGATACTTTCCTTTAAAACATTTTCATCATATATAAGAAAAAAAATAGGAGTTATATCTTTTTGTGTCTTGGGCAGAACAAATCAAACGAGATGGTGATGCAGGAATGCCTGGAGTGGAAGAGAATGACCTAGCTAAAGCTGATGATCTTCCCACCTGTAAGTAAAATTCATTAGAGAATTCAGCTGAAGCAATTATATTACTTTATGTAACCCATTGTCTTTTGGGCAGAAACTTGGAAAGGTCACAGATGTCTGGTTAATTATTTCTACTTAACTACCCACTAATTACCAGGAGACTTATTGCTAAGTATATAAAATGCTTGGTTTTGTCTTCATAAAAATCAGCCATTTTTTAACCTTTTCTCTTTTTTCTTATATCTCTTTGTAATTCCTTTCATTTTTTTATTTGTATTTTTTTATTCATTTTAATGAACCCTTTTCTTAATGACTCACTTATTGCTCATAACAGAAGAGCTGTGTTAGTCATTTATGTTTACCAAGAAAGTGTACTAGGCTCTTGTATTTCATACTCAATGTCCACAGATTGCTGTGATGTTAATCTGCTGCCTTTTGAAGAGTGAAGTACCAAAAAACAAATGAGCAAACCCATGGCATCATACTTGCAAAGCACACACTGTACCACTGAGCTCTCTCTCTAGCCTTGTTGGCATACTATAGCATAGTGATACCCTATAGAAGTTTCTAAGGCTTTAGGGCTTGGTTTATCCTTTCAGTGAATTACTCTACAATTTTGGATAGTTTGTTTACTATTTTTTTTCCCTTCTATGGCTACTTCAGTGAATATCAATTTTTATTAATATGTATGCTTATTTATCTGTTTTCCATGGAACTCCTAATTCCCCTGGCTGTTACAGCTTAATACCCATTTAGTTTTTTTCTTCCTACTTTTCTTTTTTTTTGTTTTGTTTTTTTGTTTTTTTGTT